CCCACCACGGACACCGGAGAGATCCGTTGACATGAAGGGCTCATGGTGCAGCGTCTGTGAAGCCGGAGCCCTTAGGGCAGGAAGCCTGTGTCCAGGTGCCCGGTCGCCTGCTGGGCCCTGGGCTCCGCCTCAGAGGCGACGCGTGTGTCCACGTGTGCTCAGGGGTGAGCACCACGCGGCTTCGCCCTGCGACGGGGCCTCATGCCCACCTCCCCCACTGGTGCCAAGACTTGCCTTTCCTTCTCCACCCGCTTCCCCCGCCCCCAGGATCCCGCCATCAGCAGCTCTGGCCCCGCGGGGAGCTACCGGCCCTACGACGAGGGGCTGCGGAGGGGGGTGTTCATCACCAACGAGACCGGGCAGCCCCTGATCGGGAAGGTAGAGCGGGGGCGGGGGGAGGGGTGAGAAGCGGGGGTCCCGGCGGTGGGACCAGAAGGTGCTGGGGAAGAGGGCGCTGTCCAGGGCACGGAGCGGGTGGGGTGGCCCCTGACCAGGAGGACACCTCGAGTCCTTCCTCAGGGACCCTGGCTTCCCCCTCGGCCTCTCCTCCAGGTGTGGCCAGGGCCCACCGCCTTCCCCGACTTCACCAACCCCGAGGCCCTGGACTGGTGGCAGGACATGGTGGCTGAGTTCCACGCCCAGGTGCCCTTCGACGGCATGTGGATCGTGAGTGTGCCCCTGCCCCCGGGTGTCCCTCTGCCTTGGGGACCGGCCCCACCCTCTGCCCTGGGCAGACGCCCATCTCCGGGGCCTCTTGCAGGACATGAACGAGCCGTCCAACTTTGTGAAGGGCTCCGTGGACGGCTGCCCCGATAACGAGCTGGAGAACCCGCCCTACGTGCCTGGTGAGCCCCACCTGCGCCCTGGCACCGGGCGGGCACTTGGTGGCTCAGATCAGGTCTCTGGCTTGGGAGACTCGAAGCTGTTATTTCTGTTACTCGGGGGTGCAGCCAGCCAGGAAAGGGGGGGCCCAGGAGTGAGGTTCAGGTGTGGGAGACCCTCGCCACGCAACATGGACCCCAGCCCTGCAGCTGAGGCGAGACCCGGGAGGGTGGGCATCGTGGGCTCAGGAACACGGCAGAGACAGCCCGGAAACGGGTCAGGGCTGGAGCCTGTGAGTCTGGGCTCTGCCTAGGGCAGCCTGTGGCGTCTGCCTCGTTCCCGTCCTTGGAAAAGTGGAGACTGTGTGGGGACGTGCCCCAAGTTCCCAGGGTGCTCCCAGGGTGGGGTGCTCCCAGGGTGGGGTGCGCTAGCCCGCCAGGCAGAGGCCCCTCTGAGAAAGTGCCCCTCTCCCCCAGGGGTGGTGGGCGGGTCCCTCCGGGCAGCCACCATCTGTGCCTCCAGCCGCCAGTTTCTCTCCACGCACTACAACCTGCACAACCTGTACGGCCTGACCGAGGCCTTGGCCTCCCACAGGTGAGGGCCTGTGAGGGGCGGCCGGGGTGAGGGAGGGAGCCCGGGCCACCCAGGGGCCAAGCCCTGTCCCCCAGGCCCTGCCCAGTGCTCTGAGGA